ATAAGATAGCTTTAAAGAGAGACAAGAACCCTTAATTAGAAAAAACTTAAAGAGTAAAATAAAATATAAAATCATGAAGAAAGGAAGAAAAAACAAATAATCAAGAAGAGAAAAAGGAGAAGAAAGGATGAGAAGTAGAACAACGGAGCAGACCGTTTTTGTCCGTATTTAATTAGCTATTGTTTAAATCTCATTTAGCTCGCCAAACTTTTATGTGAAATCTCTTTTTAGTTTTTAAACTGAAAAAAAATTAATTTGATCCTTAAGTTGAATAATTTTTTTTTTAGTTATTTTTAATTATTTAGTTGAGTTTTTGCTTACATGACATGTTAATTGATAACAGCACAAGCTGTTCTTTGGTTCGAATTAGTGATGTAAAAATTCTACGAAGTAAAATTTAGTGATGTGGACAAAATATGTTGTTACCATGGACTTTAATTACAAAATTGCCATCAAAATAGTTAAATTGAAATTAATCAAATTATATTGAAAATTCAAAATTACCTAATGCTCCTCGTATTGTTCTCCAAAACTTACCCTTCCTCATTCTCCCATCCCAAGTCCCATCTCCCTTTTCCCCAACCTTCTCCTCCATCATGGTCCACAAATTCTCACACTGATTTTCTTAAATTCAGTGTTCCCATCGGAAATCGCTTGTTTCCCCCAGTATCCGGCCGGCAGCGACTTCTGGTTCCTCTGCTAGCAACATTTCTGGTAGTTCTTCTCCACAGTCGGTGGCAATCCTAAGCAGGAAACTGCATGTCGAGGTCAAGATGATAACCGGAGCTTCCCCTGTCCAGATTGCAGACCCATCGCCTCCTACTTCTCCGGTGACCTTTCTCCAAGCTCCTCCGGCTCTTCCGGTCATGGGTTCTACTTCTTCTCCTACTCCGGCGAACACCCCAGCAAAGTCTACCTGGGCTGATGTTGTTGTCGATTCTGGAAAAGTTACTTTGTCTTTTCACCCGCCTGAATTTCGGAATGGTAGATTAGTAGTTCCTGATGATGTTCTTGCTGTGGGTTTGAAATCTTGGAACAATTGTTTAGTGGGTACGTTTCTTCGTGGTTGCTCGCCCAACAACGGCGACATTGTTTATACTGTAAACAAACTTTGGGGGAGAAAAGGGAAAATAGTTGTTACTTGAGTAGGCAATAATACCTTGCTGTTCCAAATTTCGGATCCTGCAAGTAGAGAGTTGGGTTCTGCATTCCAAGATTCCATGGCATCCGTCTCAAAGAACTCTGTATCTCCAGCCATGGAAACCTGATCTGGAGTTATCCAAGATTAAACCATCGGAGATGCAACTCTGTGTTAAAATTTGGGGAGTTCCTATAACTTTGTACACCCCTCAGGGGCTAGGACATGTAGCTAGTGCCATCGGAGCCCCTGTCTGTCTTGATAACGCCACAGAAGAGCGTGTTCACATCAATTATGCACAGGTATGTGTTGAAGTGGATGCAGACAAAGTTGCAGATCTTCCATCCTTGATCCCTATTGATGGTGTGAACCAGCAACCAATAGAGCTTCTCTTTGAGTGTCCATGGCTTCCTGTGCATTGTGGAAATTGCAAGAAGGAAGGGCATCTTAAAAGGGACTGTACAAAGAAATTACAAAGGGGACCAACCAAGAAACAAGAATGGAAAGTAATCTCAAGGAATAAGACAGATGAAGAACTCGAGAAAGTGGCTACTGTTGCTTCCACTTCTCATTCGAGCTTTGCTAGGAGCAAAAGATGTGAATTGTAGAAGGGCAGATAGTCAATGGCTCAAAGACTTGCTACAATTCCAATTGCCAGAGTATCTATATACTCACACAACCAGTGACTGCAACAAAAATTAAGGCTGTTGAAGCTGTTGTGTTCAACAGCCTTGGAAATAAGGCGCCTAAGCCTAATGGCTACACAGTAAAATTTTTGAGGGCCTCCTGGACAGTTGTAGATGACTTGGTGAAAAAAGCCATCTAAAATTTTTTTACAACTCGGAAAAAACTAAAGGAATTGAACTCTACATTGATAACCTTGGTTCTAAAGGTCCCAAATCCTGCCAGAATGTTTGAGTTCAAGCTAATCTCTTGCTACAATTTACTTTATAAATTTATCGCAAAGATTTTGGCTGAAAGACTCAAGAAATATTTGCCCCTATTCATTGGTCACAATCAATGCCCTTTAGTGGAAGGAAGACTAATGGTAGTGAATGTATTACTAGCACATGGAATGGTAAAGCATTGCCACAAGCAACATCTTAGTTCACGTTGTCAAGCAAGGTGACCCTTTGTCACCATATATCTTTGTTATATGCATGGAAGTTCTCTCTAGAATGCTTAACAAAGCTACAACAAAAGGACAATTTGCTTATCACCCTAAATTTGCAAAGGTTAAACTCACCCACCTTTGCTTTGTATATTACCTTACCATTTTTACAGATGGAAAGGCATCCTCTTTAGCTACAATTGATGACACTT